GATGGGAGGAGATGAGTTTGGGAATTTTCCTATGTTGCCATCTTGGATCCTCTTCAGACAGGCCCTTTTGAAATAGTTTTTTTCCCCCAACCTTTTCTGGGGACTTGAGCAATAGCTACAGGCAATTTTCCCTACTAGCAAGCCCTGGTTATGACTTTTTCAATGCCCTTTGTACCACCCATTCCTGCTGCCAAAGTTTTTATCTTCTTCCTTGTGACTCTTAGATTGGCAAGACTTTGCTAATCTAAAGAGGCAAGTACAAGGCAAAAAGCCCTAGATTGGACCTTAGGATTCCTGTATTTTAGTCCTGGCTTTGGAGTGGTGTGACTAACCTTGAACAAGTCACTTCACTTCCATGGATTTTCATCTTTTGTGACATATCGATAAGCTCTGAAATTTTACAGTTCTGAGTAGGTACCTTGACTGTACATCTCTATTGGGTCAAATGCTCTTCTTCAACCCCCTGAACCAATCAACTCCAGGATTAGGGGCTAATAGAGAGAGAAACTGTTGGTGCCCATCACAGTCTTTGCACATAGCAGGCCTGCAATGAAAAAAAAATTAGGGGGTGAAATTTACATCTAGAAACATAGATAATACTATTGTTTTCAAGATCTGGGTGGTAAATATTGCCAGATAATTTATTATTATTGTTTTAATTTGAAAGAGCATAACCTTGCATATGTAAGGCTTTGCTTTTATTTTTTTTATTTTTTATTTAAAAAAAAATTTTTTTTTTCAACGTTTATTTATTTTTGGGACAGAGAGAGACAGAGCATGAACGGGGGAGGAGCAGAGAGAGAGGGAGACACAGAATCGGAAACAGGCTCCAGGCTCTGAGCCATCAGCCCAGAGCCTGATGCGGGGCTCGAACTCACGGACCGCGAGATCGTGACCTGGCTGAAGTCGGACGCTTAATCGACTGCGCCACCCAGGCGCCCCAAGGCTTTGCTTTTAGAACTTGGAACTTGTTTAACATGGTCTCTGCACATGTCCCTTTGCCATTTAACAGGGAGTTCTTCATGCCTGTTGCCAGATTGACATCTTGCAAGTATCCTTCATGCTCTGATACTGACCATGCTTACCTCAAGCTGTAGCAACTGGAGGGATGCCAAGGGTCCATGGTCTTCTGAGTTCATTTTTTTCTTTTTTTTAAGGTGCCAGGCTATTGAAACCTTGAGCTCTCTCCCTTTGGGATAGTAGAGGGGAAAGAAAATAAGGAAAATCTGTGAGAGTAGAGGAAGACCAGGTCAAATGTAAATGAAAATATACACCGTGGATCCCCAGTGGAGTGCGTCAGTTCCTAGGTTTGCTCCAAGTGGAAGCTGACCTTGGGTTTCCTCCTCTCATAACCATTTGACATTTGAGAGAACAAACAAAGGACTTCATCAGGAAGAGTTTTAACCCTGTGAATGGCTACCAATCATTGGACCTGGGGAGCTGGGATTCAGAGAGGTCCTCTGCTGCCTTCTTATTATTTTAGGAGAACCAACTTTCAAAGAGACTGATACCAAGGTCCCCAGGATTTTCTGATGGTCTGGGAGGTTTCCAGGCCTTAAACTGGCCTGTTGCTTCCTGTCTTCAGCAAGATGACATCTCCAAAAAGGGAAAACAGCTCAGAAATCTGGGACTCCAACAGAAATCTGGGACTTAGAGAAGGAAGTGGTATAAAGTGGCTTAAATTCATATATATATATATATATATATGTGTGTGTGTATATATAT